ATCTCTTTTGAGCTGGATGTCCAGTCCAGTGCCGAAGTTCTTAGGCCTTTCCTCAGAGAGGACTCACCACCTTTTTGGCCTCCCGTTTCTTGACGATGCTGGCGGCTGGGGCCACCTCCTTCCTCTTGGCCTTCTTTTCTTTGGGCACTTTGCTCTGCTGGAGGAAGGCTTCCTAGCCCCCTTAAAAGACATTTGGGCCTTTTCATAGGAGAACAAGAGATTCCTGTTTTCTTTGCCACAAAAAAAAACAAAAATAACAAACAAACAAACAAACAAAAACAACAAAACAAAACAAAAAACCCACCTCAACATTTTTATCAGTTCTTTGAGAATTTCATATACTGTTTTGATCATACCTCCCCCTCCCCCAAATCTTCCCAGTCACCCATCTTCCTTACCCTACCTTCTGTCTTTTCTTTGCCACTTTGAGAAAAAAGTTTTGTGAACTTTAATCAGAATTAGACTCAATGTGTCTTCCGTTAGGATTTCTGAATAGCAGGTAGCCACAAATCCAGTTGAGTCCCTTGACCTTGATAAGCTTTATGGTTGCTGACCCATAGCTTTTTATCTGCTCAAACTCACTTGTGCAGCTGTGATAGTTGACCTGTGAGAATTTGGGTGGGAGTATGATTTCTGGAGGGCCCAGCATCTCATGCAACTACCACCCCCGTGACACTTTACATACTCTCTTCATGGGAAAAGGGCAATGGGGATGTAGACAATTTTAGAAGGTTGGTAATTTACTTTTTTTCAAGCCAGGGTTTCTCTGTGTAGCTTTGGTGCCTGTCCTGGATCTCGCTCTGTAGACCAGGGTGGCCTCAAACTCACAGAGGTCTACCTGGCTCTGCCTCCCGAGTGCAGGGATTAGAGGCGTGCACCACCCCACCCAGCAGTAATTTACTTTTATTACAAATTAACAAGGCCAGAAAAACAGACATGGCTTGGGACCTTGTTGTTCATCTGGCTTTTCTTCCTATCAAGAAGTAGAATTCAGGTTTCTACCTCCTTTTGTCTAGGTTGGCCGGGAGGCTGGGCAATACAGCAAAAGCGATGATAGGGAAATTATGGGTTAGGCCTTCAGAGACATTGTTCTCACTCTCCTGTTGTCACGGAGAGAAACCTGGGTGAGCCTTTCTAGGATGGGAGGTGACATGGAGAAAGATGCCCAGCTGGCACCAGCAGCAACTTCCAGAAGAGCCGGTAGCATAAGTTGCCTGGCCCAGTGGATTCCTTGTTCCACAACTATCAAGAGCTTCAAGATGCTGAGAGCTGAAAACAAAGCAAGCATGTGCTCTCGAGAGAACCAGTCCCGATCACCTGGAAGACTGTCTCGGGTCGAGTTCCAGTACGCTCCTAGCTAACCGTCAATACATAGTTGAGTCCATTTGAAAACAGGAATTATTTCCAAGTCCAGTCTAATACTGACTCAGGCTAGCTAATAAATGAATGTTGGTTGAAGCCACTAAGTTTATGATAGTTTATTAGGCAGCAATAAACAATAAATATAAACTCCCTTATCGCCTATCAAGGATTCTTGAAACCTGAGTTGTTCAGCTTCACCACGCTTGCCCCATCGGAGGAGGGCTGGGGGATGCTTCACTCTGTCACATATTCCCTTTATACCTACACGTGTGGACTATTACTAATTCTGTGACTTGGATCACACTTGAGTTTTTCTTTGATTTTGAGATAGGGCCTTGGTATGTAGGCCTTGAACTTGAGATCCTCCTGCCTCGGCTTCTTGAGTGTTGCAATTCCAGGTGGGCACCATGGGAGAATATCCCTTCACTTCCTTTTGTGCCCATATTTCCTCATGTGGTCTGTGGAACTCGCATGTCCTGACACCTGAACAGTACTTAGCCAATGCCTTGTTGAACTGTGTTGTATGCAACCACACCGCCCTTAAAATCCAGGATGAGACTTGCAGCAGAGCCACAGAAGGCATGTACCCAGAGAGGTGAGAATGGACGTGGCCCCGCTTACTGGGAAGGACAGGGAGGAGGCAATGAGCCCTGGAGACAGTCAGGCTCTTCTTCCTTCATAGCTCAGCACCACCATTGTTCTGTTCCTCTGCATGACACTCCATCCAGCATTAGCTTTGTTGGTGTAAAGCATCAGTAACAAAGAGAGTCTATGGAGTGTCAGTGGGAGGGTTGCACAGAGACTCAAACCAAGCTCTGGGGCCTATGCCTACCACATGATATTTAACATGTGAGTGTTGGTCAGAAATGCAAGCCAAGGTCACTGAGAGGAAAATGACCAAATCTGCTTTGTATTGGACAGTATTGGGAAACCTCGGGATGTATGCTTCCCAAACCTCCGAGCAAACCATGACAGCCTGTTCTAGCAGCAACTTCCCTTAAAAAGAAAGACACCAAGCAATCCCAGTTTATGATCTACCATTTAGGCCCCAGGAACACCTTCCATCTTTATCTTCAGCCTACTGCCCCCTTTCTTCCTTACTCTTAAGTTAAAAAACAAAACAAAAAAAAAAAACCTATGTGTTCATCAATTTTTTTGAGTGCTTGGGAGTACACAGTCATACATAGAGATTCTGATTAATAGGAGCTTCATGCCATGAACCAGCAATCTCAACACACCGAGAGCGTGAGAAGAGTCGCTGAAGGCTTCCTGGGGGAAGTCATATTTAATGTGTAACCTATAACATAGATGAGTGACATCAACTGAGCTGGGGGCTGAGGGAGAGTGGGGGTGAGTGCGGCTGATGAGAAAGAGATCGGAGGCATCATTTACAGTTGCGTAGAAGGAAGAGAAAACTTGGAGCTTGGGGATTTTAAAGTAGATAGATATTGATGAAAAAATGAGTTAGAAAGTGGAAGTGGTCAGAAAGGAAGCTAATGGAGGTAATTTGTTTATCCGGTTAAGAAATTTGACCTTTATCCTAAGAGCAATCAATGGGAAATCATTTAGTATTTAAACAGAAGAGTGACATTTAGAAATAGCATTCCCTGACTATAATATGAGGAACAGAGGGCAGGTCAGAAGGCTTGCCACTTGTTATTATAAATAAAGTTTTATTGGCAGCCATACACATTAATTTGTATTGTCTTTTAGGTCTTAGGCGTCCAGCTTAGTAAATGACCATCTGGCTCACAAACCCTGAGCTATTTACTACCTGGCCCTTTTAAGAATATTTGTTGAGTTTAGGTACTGTTAATATAACTTGGAGGAAAATAATGATAGCTAGCTAGCTTTGGGAAAGGCACAGGAGGAATTGTGTAAAGGGGGTTTGAGGAATTAATCACACAATTCTTGTCAAATTCTTAAAACATTCAGTTAATTATTCAGACATCTGATTTTAGCTTTACCTTGGGGACTCCACTCCTATAAGAACCAAGATTACAGTTGTGATGTAAACAGCTAAGGGTTAAGTGTTGTAAATGAGAGAGAAGGCCAGGGGCCAAGCACAGTGGTTCATGACTTTAATCTTAGCACTTGGGAACCTAAGGCCAGCCTGGTCTACACAATGAGTTGCAGGCTAAGGCTACCCAGTGAGAACCTGTTTAAAAAAAAGAAAAAAGAAAAAGACAGGAATTGGGAAGGAAACAACCAAGCAAATTAAACTGTAGATTCCTTATAAATTATTATTATAAGAAAAAGATTCCGGGGGCTGGAGAGATGGCTCAGAGGTTAAGAGCACTGCTTGTTCTTCCAAAGGTCCTGAGTTCAATTCCCAGCAACCACATGGTGGCTCACAACCATCTGTAATGAGATCTGGTGCCCTCTTCTGGCTTGCAGGGATACATGCAGACAGAACACTGTATACATAATAAATAAATAAATCTTTAAAAAAAAAAAAAAAAGAAAAAGATTCCTTAACTCTCTGTGTGTGTGTGTGCGCGCGCACACTCAGGTATGCACATCAGTTAAACAGTGTGAGACATATAGTAGGACACAAGATGTATTTGGTTAACTGAACCCTTAACATCATGATGTTCCTGACACCTGCTTTGTGGTCCTGAAACTCTGCTGTTTGATACAGATTGACCTACAATGTCTGACCAAATCAAACAAAGCACTTTTTATTCTATTTTATTTTATTATTTTGCTTTTTAAACAACCTCAGTAAAACAACACCAGCAAGTGTCTTTAATTTGTCCTTCCTTCAAGAAGACCAAAGCTGGGTCTCAGTCTATTTACATCACAATAGTAATAGCAATAAACAAGTTAGTATAACTCCCATTGTTCATTGAGTGCCTACTAGATCTGAAATACAGCACAGACACCCACCTAGGTTCTTCAGTCCCTCTAGCAAACATCATTATTGTCGTCATGTGTAGATGAGGAGACTGTAGCTCAAGGGTTCTCTTTTCTAAGGTCATGCCCATGTCTGTGTCTGACGTTAACAATCTTCCTCTCAGTCACACAAGCTCTTGCTGCCTCATAGCAGGTCACACTGCCTCCTCCTTCTCAGTCTTTTATCTCCTCAGTCCATTGCCTAAAACCCCCCACTGTCTTCTCATCTCCTGAAGAGTCTACATAATTTAGTGTGGCATAATTTATTTTTAATAATCTCTCATCGCCTTAGTGGCCTCGGCTTCTGCGGCCGTTTCTGTAAGTGTATGTCGTATATTCCTGATTTTTGGGGGGGGGGGGCTCTCGAGGGCAGGGGGAATATTCCAGGTCCCTCCATGCTTCTGTGGATTTACATGTTCCTTCTCTTTCTGGAGACTTCTTCCTTCACATCTGCCTGGGCTTTGAGCTAAAAATCCCAAGTTCCAGCCAGTCTCTCTTGTGAGATCTAACCTCTCAGTGTTTTATTCTCCTACTGGGAAATGGCTATCCGTTTCCTAGAAATGGTTATATGAAAAGAACTGCGGCTTTCCCATCCACTGCTTGATCTCTGGAAATGCCTGGCTTCTGTAAGCCATGTGGTTTTTTTTTTTTAAACCTTTTTATTTATAAAATAGGATAATATGGGGCGGTGGTGGTACACACCTTTAATTCCAGCACTCGGGAGGCAGAGGCCGGCGGATCTCTGTGAGTTTGAGGCCAGCCTGGGCTACAGAGTGAGTTCCAGGACAGGCTCCAAAGCTACACAGAAAAACCCTGTTTCAAAAAAAAAAAGGGGGTAATATGATGCTTTGGTGTTGCCTGATACATTATAAGTACTCAGAATAAACAGTCATTACTCAGTTCCTGTGCAATTAAATAAGAGTCACATATATTAGTCTAGCACAATAATTTTGAGCACACTCTTCTTCCTTAGTGATGCTCTGGCCATCCTTTGAATAGGTTCAACACAAACTATTTTGTGATTTATTTGTTTCCATGTGTGTGGTAGGTAGTGCTTGTAGACATCTGTTTGTAGTCCTGAAGTTGACGTCAGGCATCTTCCTCAGTCATTGCACACCTTATTCATCAAGGCCAAGTTTCTGAATTACACTCAGAGCTAACTAGCCAGCTTGCTCTGGGAATCCCTTCTCTCTGCCTTCAGTGCAGTCTGCCACGCCCACCTTTGCATCTCCATGGGTGCTGGGGGTCCCAACTCAGGTCCTCCTCCTGCTCGCACAGCATGCGCCTTATCCGCAGGGCCATCTCTCCGACCTCTTTTTCTGTAAACGTTCTATACATTTAATCCATGGTTGGCCGTGTTTGTCTCAGTTCTCGTCTCCTCTGCTAGCCTGGAACTCTGTGAGCACAGGGACGACGGTTGATCTACCCCAACCTAGTAGACACTGGTATTTAATACACGTTGGCTGATTGGCTGCCTGGATATACCCATGAATGGACAAAAAGTGAGCCTCACAGGACTTAACTGAGTGACAGTATGCCCAGTAGTGTTGGTTTGATTTGGCAATGTTTACTGAGTATAGTTTGCTTCACCCTTTTCTCTTTCACAGTAATGGACTTGAACCTAAGGCCTCACACAGGCTGGGCAAGCGCTCTGCTGCTGAGGTCCATCCCCGACTCACTCTCTCTCTCTCTCTCTCTCTCTCTCTCTCTCTCTCTCTCTCTCTCTCTCTCTCTCTCTTATTTTGTGACTGGATCTCCCAATGTTGCCCAGGTGGTCTCGAACTCATTCTGTAGCACAGCCTGGAACTTGAGGTTCTCCTGTTTCAGTCTCCCAAGCAGCCAGGAGACTGCACGACCAGATCTGGCTTCCATACCCAAAACTGTTGGAGCTCAGTGATTCCGTTTAATTCCCATAGAAACTCAAGTTAGGTCTTAGCCTCGTGAAATCTATTTAAAAAAAAATTATTCAAGGTTATTATCACTGTTTTTCAGATAAAGTAACTGAGGTCGACATAGCCTACTTCAAGTCCCACTGCTAGTAAGAGATGTAAAAACCGGCATTGCGTCACCAGCAAAGGTGAGAGGACACCGTCTGGGAGGCAGTTTTTCCCCTCATGGGTCCCAGGGATTGAACGCAGGTTTATCAGTCTTAGCCGCAAGCACCCTTACCTGCTGAGCCATCTTGCCAGCCCCAATGGGCTATGTGTGGGTGATTTTATGTGTTTATTTCTTTTCACAAGGTTCTAGTTATTTTGCCACAGCTGGTTCGAAAGATATGGTTTTGAGCATCTATCACTAGGATACCAGTTTACTTGTAAAAATAAAATATGTGTGTATGTAAAATGTACACTTATAAGCTTGTTGAAATTTTTAAAGGAAAGAGCATGAGCTATGGGGACAAGAAAAGAGGTTTATTGGAGGGACTGGTAGTTGCATTTGGGGAGACGGAGCTGAGACCTGGGATGAACATGTAGGGTATGGTGGTAGAGGGAGGTCTGAGCAAGAATGGAGGAATTTCATGCAAGGCAGCCCTGAGTCCAGTCCCCAGCACCGCATAAACTAGGTATAGCTGCACCTGCATGTAATCCCAGCACTTGGAAGTGGAGGCAGGTGGATCAGAATTTCATGGTCACCCTCAACTATCAAGTGAATCTGAGACTAGCACACGTGAGTCAGAGGACAGCTTGCGGGAGTCCCATGTGGGTCCCAGGGATCGAACTTGGGTTGTCAGGCTTGGCAGCGGGTGCCTTTACTTATTCAGCCACCTCTCTCTCACCGGCCCCCAACAATTGAAGTCTCTGAGTTGGATGACTCGAGGCACAATGAGTCCAAAGCAGAGAAAGCTAGAGAAAGAAGAGTACGGCTTACCCACCATGCTCCCCTGAATGCACCCCATCTCACCTGATCCTGAGAGCTGGACCTGACTAGGATGTGGGAGGAAGAAGGAAGAACCTGGAGAGGAGAGACAATGCGTTCTATATTTTACTACACTGGATCTGGGATAACATACCAGCGCAGTAGGAACGTAGGTCTGGAGCTCAAGAGAGTTCTCCACGGCTAGTGTCCAGTAGGGTTGATGTCAGACATGTTGGGAGCATGGAGAGACAGGTCAGACAGTAAGGTACAGATGAGATAAGGTTAGCAGTGGGCGAGGTCATCACCTGGGGCAGGAGGAAATGAACTGAGTTAAAGGTTAATTGCAAAACACCGATTAAGTACCAAAGGAGGAAAGCACAAATGTTCCTGGTTTCTAGGAGCCATGCATACTTTGACATGAACAGCCCAAGGGCTCAGGGATGTCGGCAAGAGCTTATTGAGACATAAGAGCTGAAGGTTGATCAAGTAAGACCACTGTGTGTGTGTGCGTGTGTGCATATGTGCATGTTATCTCTGGGTGGGGGTGTGCTTACCTGTGTACATGCATATGGAATCAGAAGTCAGGTCAAGCTGGATGTCTTTCCCCTCCTGTGCTCTGCCTCACAGAGCCTCTTACTGAAGCAGGAGCTTGCCATTTTGGTTAAAATAGATGGCCAGTGAAGCCCTGGGATCCACCTGCTTCTCCTGCCCCCTGAGGGTGCAGGTGTGCGGGCACACCCAGCTTTTTTCTTTTTATTAAGAATTTTTAAAAATTTAAGCCGGGCATTGGTGGCGCACGCCTTTAATCCCAGCACTTGGGAGGCAGAGCCAGGCGGATCTCTGTGAGTTCGAGGCCAGCCTGGGCTACCAAGTGAGCTCCAGGAAAGGCGCAAAGCTACACAGAGAAACCCTGTCTCAAAAAACCAAAAAAAGAAAAAAAAGAATTTTTAAAAATTCATTTTACATACCAATCAAAGAGTCCCCTCTTCCCTCCTCCCATCCCTCCAGCCTCCCCCTCCCAACACCTCCCCAATCCCTCCTACAAGAAGGTAAGGCCTCCCCTGGGGAGGTACATTTAGTAGGGGCAGGTCCAAGCCCCTCCCCCTGCCTCAAGGCACACACCCAGCTTTTTTTTTTTTTTTAGGTTTATTTATTTATTATGTATACAGAAGAGGGCACCAGATCTCATTACAGATGGTTGTGAGCCACCATGTGGGTGCTGGGAATTGAACTCAGGACCTCTGGAAGAACAGTCGGTGCTCTTAACCTCTGAGCCATCTCTCCAGCCCACACCCAGCTTTTTAAGTGAGTCCTGGATTCAGAATCAGATGAAAGGGCAATGAATTTGAGAATAAAAGACATGCTACCACTACCTAGAATTCACCAAAAAGAAAAAAAAAAAAGGGAGGGGGTGGGAATTTCAAGGAAATGAAAGACACTATTGTAGGTAAGATTGAAGGAAACCCTGTAGTGTTCAATGTAACCAATGGAAAAAAGACTCATTCTAAGATACATTATTGGGAAGTTTCAGACTTTTAAGCATACTGGGAAAATCTAGGAAGAAAAGAAGTCAGAGAGGCGTAGGAACTGTGGAGACATCAGCTGTTTCAGCACCACTGAGAACAGGAAAAGGACATTTTCTGATGGTGTGCTTCTTGTGTGCCTCTCCGAACAAGGTGGTGTTGAGTCTGTGCTTCAGCAACAGGAGAGTCAAGTCAGTGGCATGTTTGGGTGTTAGAAGACATTACCCATGGGTATTTGGTGGATATGTTAAGAAATTTGGACAGCATTTTGGCTAGATACATGTTCTAAAAGGCAAATAAAGCACGGTCAGTTATTAACTCCAGAGGGGAAACATTCAAGAAAAATGTTACCACGTACTCTACTTGGCAATGCATTCTGTTCACCTGGTCAGGATGATGTAAGCCTTAATTACTGTTTATCAACTGTGATGAGGCTAATTTGGGAGCAAGGGCAGGGCAGGTGTTGGGGGATGTGGTGGCAATGGTGCTGTGGGAAAGAGCTAGATCCTCAAATACGGTGACAAGATGTCAGTCAATAACGCCTGGAACTGAAAATCAAGAAACTGTACAAGAGTGGTATTAGGGGCTGGAGAGATGGCTCAGAGGTTAAAAGCACTGACTGCTCTTCCAGAGGTCCTGAGTTCGAGTCCCAGCAACCGCATGGTGGCTCATAACCATCTATAATGAGATCTGGTGCCCTCTTCTGGTGTGCAGACATATATACAAACAGAACACTGTATACATAATAAATAAATAAATAAATCTTTAAAAAAGAATGGTATTAGAAAATAGGGAATACAAAGCAGGGGTTGAGGCCGGGCTGAAGATAGGTGAGAAGTGGGCAGGCTATGGCTTTTACTTGAAACTTTAAAAATTTCATATATATATATATATATATATATATATATATATATATATATATATTATTAAAATAAAATGGAAATAAAAGTAATACATATATATTCAGTGAGAAAAGCATACAATGTAAGCAAAAAGAACCCAAAAGTTATCCAGACTGTCACTCCCACAGGGATAACATTTCTTAGTATTTTCAGACAGTTCCTTCCTAAAACACTGTTGAAAGTACTTTCAAATACTTGATGTCTGGCAAAAAAAAATTCTTGATATCCTAAAAATTCTAAAGCAGTTACTCATTCTTATTACTAACTGAACCAACAACCC